CGTACAATGCTGCAGTAATATCAGTTAAAGTTCTCTCATTCACGAGGCTCTAGCTTGGTAAGGTCTTCAGAGACTTAAAATTATACCGAGAAGATAAAAAATTCAAAGGGACTTCACTTATCGAGAAGATAAAAAATTCAAAGGGACTTCACTTATCGTGTGTCTTTCAGGCAATTTATGAATTTTCTGTTCAAAGTGAAAATAAATTTTTGACCACCATCATTAACATTGCCACCATCAGGTTTTTTAATCTACATAATTATTAGATTGTGCTGTGAGTAGAATTGAATACATGCACTCTTATGTACCACCCTGCACTATTGCAGAAACTGACATAGAATTCTCAATTGATGCAAGATGATGGGCAGAAATAAAGATTCATGGTTTTCCTTCAAAATAAATCAGGACATATTTTGTTTGACAGAATGACATTCCTGGAGAGACTAATCTTGGTACATGTATTTTCTTTTAATACTTGGGATTCGGGAAAAATCATTTTCAAGACAAAAACATGAAAAAAAAAATCAATGACATATGTGACAAAATAAAGATTCTGATTGAAATTGCATAGGTCTTGATTTTTCTCTAAATAAAATTCAGTTCCTCTTTCATCAGGAAAACAAATCTCACATTCTCAATTTTCCAATATATTTCAAATTTATTAAAAAACATGAAAGCAATGCTACATAAGCACATTCAATTCACCCTGTTGGTAAGACTGACTGAGTTAACTGAATTGAGACAAACTGTTACAATGGTGTCTGAGGGAGACATAATTGACACACAAAGTGACAATTAAATAAGCCCTTGATTATGCCTTGTTAGTAATCTCTGCATTCACCGTTGTGTGCTGTGACAATGCAAGTCTCTCTACCTAATGTTGACACAATTAAAAGGATCAAAGTCTATCCCCATGCTCTTTTATTACCCTGAACCTAATATTCTTGGAGTTTTTCCTTTGCGGATGAAAGCCTTAGTTGTAAGTGTTAACCTGGGAGATTTAACACACTGTGTACTGCCCTCTTCGTCTGTCTGTCTACTCACTCTGTAGAATTTTTCCTTACTCTCATTTTCTTGACCTACAAATATTGAAAGGAAAAACTGTTCAGACAAAAATGTTCAAGTTTGAAAGGTTTAAACCAAACACAACACTCAATTCTTTGTCAAGGTTGGTAAATTGACTTTTTACTGAGCTGCCTCAAATTTTACGTACACAGGAGTTAAGTTACCTGAACTGACCCTATTATGAACATTTATCCTCACATGGCTGCATTGTATACCTAAAACTTGTACTTAGATTTGGATGGCTTCCATCTTTAGGGTTTCTTTATATTATGTCTGAAGTTGTTATTATCAATTAGGATGTTTTTTCTTTATCAGACGTCTACCCCCGCAGTGAAGTCTCCACTCGTCAAATATTGCTCCAAAGTCAAGTGTCCTCCCAGTCTTATATGTGGTCCATGGAATGAGGTGGCAGGAAAATCCTTCTGTTCCCTCCAAAAGTCTCTTATGTCTCTCATATATACCTTCTATAGTAATATCAAGTTTTTACTTCTTTTTTTTTTTGAAAATTTGGCCCTTAGTGCTTTCATTTTTACAAGACCCCCTTAAAAATAGATAAAATACAGCAGTTAATGCTTAATGTTTTGTAGACATTGTCAAGTAAAACAACAGTATTGTCTTCAGGAAGACGTGTCAGCTGTACAGCTATTTTTCAATTACACGACCAATTCCATACCCTTAGATAAACCTATATCGATGACACTTTGAACATTTCACCAAGAAAAATGCCTATTGTACTTCTCCATTTTAGGTACACAAAAATCTCGTGTTTAAAAGGCGTTTTTCATCTTTACTTTTGTGGTCAATTAGAAAAACATAATTCAGTCTAGCATGCTTCATGTGCTGTCCATTGAATTCCAGGGCAGTGCCACTGTGGTAGTTTTATGTTAGTCATCTAAATTGATACGTTGTACTGCTATAATTTTGGAAATCTGATGTTATCTCTCTTCTTTTTTGTAGTAGATGATAACTTTCTGGAATATTTATGTCCAAACACCTGTATTTTTATCGAATTTAGAGCATTTTTTTATGTTTTCTGATATCATGTTTCATATTGAAATTGCCTGTCCATCTTTGAATGTGGTCAATTAATCGGATTTGGCCTCCAAGCAACCTTTCATAATGAACATGTAACTTCAATTTTGATCCTTCAGTTTTCCTTATCTTAGCCTTATTTGTCCATTTTTGTCACATCATACATGTATGTACTTTATATACTGTCTCAAAAAGTCTTGACGTGTGTAGCATACATTTTTAAACCTCTGATCTAGTTTCTCTTGTTTACAATTTACATGTGATTATCAATACCACAGATCAACGATCCTCAATTACATGACCTGTTTTGATTTCTAATTAAGGGAACAAAAAATTTCAGTAGTTGGTATAGGATCAAGAAACCTTTCCTTCAAATTTCCCATGTATGAACAGTTGTATAATGCAAGTTTAATTGTTTTAAAATAGGAATTGTATATGCTTGTAGTTGTAAAAGGACTTTACTGCATTTGATGTACCAGTAAATAAGAAAATCTAAACCTTCTCGAAGCTTTCAAATTGATTTAAACTGTTGCTGAAGTAGGAAATACTAGAATTATTCAAAAGAGGAGACCTTGATGCACAGAAATAAATGCGTATAAGATGTTTGTAAAAACAAGTAATGAAAAACAGAATTGTAAGTGAATGGACCCAGAGTCTTAAAATATCAATGTCTGACGTCTTTCTGGAGGAGCCTTGTTTCCCTATGACATCAGCATCACAATTCTCGGAGGAGACCGTCTTTAATCAGATTAACAACCTCTTTGTTGGTTTATCCACCTCTGCTATGATTCAGTGTAATCAGTATTGAATTTTTACGGAAACATACTGCAATTTTTCCCCCAACGTTGTACAAAATGTCATCCATTGGACAACTTTGTTTGTCCTGATAGACTAGGTATATTTTTTTATGTTGAAAAGTAATTTCCTGTCTTCCACTGTCTGTGTTCAATACGTCAAAAATGAATTAATTTCATTTGATAGACATTCTTCCGATTTTGACACATGTTAATGAGAAGTGCAAGATCATTGTTAATTTGCTTTGAAATCTTTGAGTTACGTATGACATGTATTGTGAACAATGCTATAAGAAGAAACTGGTGTCTGACGTTGAGAACACCATTTTTTTTTAATGGGATCTTATTAACAAAGATGTATTAAGACTGTGTGACAAAAAAGAAAATAAAATAACATTTCAGGTGACTGCCTGTCTAAACAGACCTGATGTTGTGTATTATTAAGATAATTAAAAAAGGTTCCAAGTAAAATTTTAAATCACCAAGTCAATGACCATATTGAAGAGCATTTATTGCTCTATGTGTAATGTTAAACAAATATTGAATGTTTTTTAAATACTTGTTCTGTGCCTTTCTTTTTTAAAATGATCCCTGTAATATAAGAATATGAATAATGTATTTTATTTATGAAATAGTTTTTCATCAAGCAAAAAATATAACCAATTTTTTTTTACATGACCTTGACCTTGGCTTTGGCAGTAGGTTTTTAATATAAGGAACTATGTAGTCCTTTTCTTTCAAAGTCCTTCATTTAGGTCAACTGCAATAGGTCAGATGAAAGAAATTGTTTGGATTGGCTTTTGATAAGATTTAGCAGGGGAAAGGGAGACCACTGAGGTCGATTGTAAATGATTTTCCATAATGATGATAAACAATCATCATCAAACGACTTCAGAGACTAGTTATCTTAGTCTACAAGTGCAGTTGATTTGGTAAACATGGCAAACAGCACATTCAGTTAGGAGGATGGAAATTGAATTCTGGATAAGATGACTTCAGCTTGAAATGAAATATGTGTGTAAAGCATGGTGAATGGCAACATAAATTGGCATGAAGATAAACAGGCCTTGTGACCTCAAATTCTGAATAATTATCCCCATCTAGGGCACAACATTCTCCTCTTTAGATTGTTCAAATGAAGAATTCATGTACACCAGGGGATGTAACTAATTTTCCATGCCAGCATGAAAGTAAAGAGCATTTAGAACATGGACTAGCAATCAAAAGACCATCTAGCAGATGTGCATATTTCCATCAATTATTATGGCATGCAAGCAGAGCCTGAGATTGAAAATAATCAGTTATTGAATAATTTCTCACTTTACAACCTTTTATGTGTTATAGTGTGGTCTCCAATAAAAATATCATCTGATTTATTGGAAAAAGGATGGTTTTATAGCAGAAACCATATTGCAACCTATTAATGCCCCCCCCCCTTTGTTTTGCATCAAAGAGTGACTATATATTTAAAAAAAAAAAAGAGATTTCTACTGGAGTTTTCAATATTTTATTGCTACTTTACTCCCTTAGAAGAAATTATTTGTGAAAATATTTTTGAGTTTCAGCTTTCAAAATCTTTCTGTTAGTTCTTTGTTTAAAGTTGCATAACAAAACTTTATTTGTGATTCTCTTGTAAGGCCAAAATAAATTATTGGTTGTTTGGAATTGCCCCCCCCCCCCCGCCTTGTTGAAATGGCCCTTCCTAGAAAAATTTTATGGACCAAAAATAAGATGATTTTTTTTATTCAATTAATTTTTGGCCTGTTACCACATGTACCACCCAATAAGTGTAGGATCTAAGCAAAACTGGGTTCCTGGTTGATGGGAGATACCCTTTACAAAAAGGCAGAAAATAATTTGTTCATTTCTTATTGAGATTTTTATCATCAATTTTTAATTTAACTTTTAATTTTGAAGAAAAAATAATTTCCCTCCCTCCCTCCTGGGTCTGAAACCTCCCAGGCGGCAATTCCAGACAAACAAGTTTTTAAGGATGGCCTAATATAATTAATGAATTTAACAATATTGTACCAATAGTTAATGGTAATTGTTTATTTAATTCATTTTATTTCAATGAAAATTTCAATGCTTGCTCTATCTATTTTGCAGGCAACCACTCTTTACTGTTTGGTTCTTGAGTGTGCCTTGGGTGGAGATTTAATGACGTTTATCAGGACTTACAAACAATTATATTTACCCGAGGACAAAGCTCGAGACTTCTTCAGACAACTTGTATCTGCAGTGCACTATCTTCATGAAAGGGGAGTTGCTCACAGGTAAAGAATAAAAGAAAATATGCCCATATTTTAAATTTTCTTTAGCTGCATATCCCCAACAACAAAATCCCAAGCCTTACATTCCTGATCAAAATGCTGAATGTGCATGCATTAATTAACCTACTGAAAGTTTGGTATGTATACACTTCTACATGGTACTCTGATGGTCCTTTGATATAAACAGGATAAGATGCATATGTAAATTTTGATGTGTAGATGAGACAAGATTGATAATAAGGAGATAAAGATTAATCTTCTGACAGGTGTTGTATGGTTTTATCAATAGGACCCATATAAATTGAGGTCAATGGTTTGTCAATAAACGCTGAGGAAACCCAGTCCCCTAATTAAGGGGGATAATGGTATGCAGACAGTGTCTTCATTAAGATCTTCATTGAATGCCAGGGTACATCTTGACACCCCATAAAGGAATAAATAAGTGAATATGTGTATATCATTAGTGATCATATCATTGTCAGCATTACTACTTGTTCAGAGAATGCTCTGGAATCATTTTAATTTGTGAGGGTCAGTGTTCATAGGCAAACAAAATTTTACTGCTTTTTGGGGAGGTAATTTCATGGGTAACTCATAACTTATGATCAATGAACTCACATGTTGGCATAGTAACATAGGTTCATGCCAGGGGATGTAAATTCATGGGTATGGGTGACTTAGTATGAAATCCAAGAGCATTGGTCCCCCAGGAACAATGATAATTCCACAGTATGGTAAATTATAAAATTGAGATGATGATAATTAAATGCTTTCAGTTTTTGCAAAGATGAAATTTTGGTAGTGCAAACAAATTTAAAATTGTGTTCTAGCACCCAGAATTAAGACTTTCAAGAATTAACCTGAAAAGCAGAAAATCTTAAATCCCTTTACATCTCCAGGAGGAAAAACTATTTTTAAAAAGAAACCCAATCTGTAAATGTGACAGTTGCCTCCTGTCACAGAAATGCTGACAATTCCTGAGTGTTCCAACATTCTCATTAGGCTGAGTGTAGGCAGCTGCAAAACACAAATGTATGCTGGGAGCAAAATCAGAATTAACATGAGAAAATCATACAAGCAGTAACATTCAAATTTCCTGCATCTTGCTTTTTTTTGGCGTCTTGCAAAGAGAAAAATCACCGTGAAGCAATTATCATTAAAAAGCAATTTTGGTTTTTTGTTTTTTATTGTTAAGAGTTTTGTATCCTAGCTTTTTCAAACTGTTAGGCTTATAAGTGTGAAAACTGTCTTATATTTTTACATAAGAAATGCAGTAGTAAATCTTGGCAATGTGGGTGCATGACAGAGATTGACATAGAATCTGTTGGAAAAGAAAAAAAAAGACCTTTAATTAGTTTCCCTCTCTTAATAGTGGTCCCCTGTCTCTTTCTGATCACAGACTAATTATCAGGAGAGATTCACCAATCTATAGAATGTTGATTGTGGAAGGAAACCTAAACCAGAAGGATTGATAAGTTAAAATTTCTGATAGGTGACTAGATCATTAATTTAACGACTCCTAGGCAGATTAATCTAGCTCGTAGCTGCTGCAGGTTACATCTCCCAATAGGGAAGAGCTCCTAGATGGAGAACCTGTTTTGGTAATGAAAAAGGTCCCATAAAACACCTTTTTGGTATTTAGTTTACGTCATATTGTGATAATTTTGTACATGAAGCCCTTCAAAAACAAGATGTTAAGTTTATATTTTGTGCACAGTTCTTATCCTCATGTTAATTCAATTTTATGAGGCTACCAGCAGTTTGATCAATACTTATTGATTAGTATTGTTATAACAGGCATGAAAAACAATGTGTTTTTTCCCAGAGCAGCCTTGTAAAAAAGGCTTTTCTATTAAAACAGTTTATTTTATGTTGAATTTTCTAGAAGTACTGTCTACAGATTTATAAGCAATCATGATCTGCAGGGATGAAAAAAAAAATCATAATAAAAATTGACATCTATAAAATTCCCTTGTGATGCTTAGTCAGTGCCGAAGTCTGTTGACTTTATAATCTGAAAGATGAATACCCCAGAAATGTCACTATAGAAACAGGCAACTAAGGTCTAGATCAACAAATAATGGAATCTTCATCTATAGTCTAAAAAATCTCTTTCCCAAGCTACAACTGCTATCTATAAAACACAAAAGATATAGGCATTTTTTGTGGCTTGAATAGCACCAATTAAAGTTATAAAGCCAAAGATTGGTTATGTACAATAAAACTTGTTTTGTACAAACACAGATATCGCAAATTTACGGATATAGCAAAGTTTTCTGGGTTTCCCCAGCAAAATTCTTAACAATTCCTTGTAAAATTTTATGGTTATAATAAACTCTGATTTAACAAAGTTATGGATATAGCAAACTGATTTCATGTCCTATAGTTAAAAATAATGAAATTTACATCTTTTATAATGATTTTTTTAAATATAACAAAATATAAAATATTGACTTGACATTATAGTTCTCATAAGTACTTATATTTGAAATTCAATATATCAGAAAATTTAGCAATGGAAAGAGTTCTTCCCTGTTCAGAACATATTTGGTAGTCATATTTCAATGGATGCAAATTGCAAATTTGCTACCTTAATTATTTGTTATACAGATATAATGAATATATTATGGATATAGTGAAATAATTTAATTTTGCTTGTAACGTGTCGTTTGATTGGATAAAAAAATTAGACTATATCGTATAACCTGGGTTGCCTACATCACAACTTATGTCAAAAACGTATCAATCCGCTTGATGTTATATTTAAAGTATGTACAATTTGAAGGCATTTTTGAAGGAGAAATTGTGTTATTTTCTACACTTAATGATGGAAAATTAAATTATAAGGAATGAATTAATAGCTATCCAAGTTATACTGGTATAACCTGGGTTGGCACAGTTTACTCTTTTTTATAATCCGCTTTGTGGTTTATAAAGCATAAACTACCCCAACCCAGGTTATACCAGTATAACTTGGGTAGCTATTAAATTTATTCCTTAAGTAAATTCACTGGTCCCTTTGCTATGACCAAGTTTTACTGTACATCTCTTTGCAAAACTTTAAAATGTAGATTTTTAAGTGTGAAAATATGAAAATTGCCCTTCTTTTATAGTTTATATTACATTCATAATTTTTCTTTTAATTGAATAATACCTGTCATGTCATTTAGCAACATCTGTTTAATTACAACACCTGAGTTGTGTGAATGAAAAGTCTCCTGATCTTTATTTCATTCACATATCTTGACCACTCAGCATAAAAACATGGGACATAGTTAATTATTAGTGACAGAGGAACCATAATCAGGCACACAGCCTATAATTTGCCTGCCTTGTCATAATGAACCTGTGATGTATGATGTTTAGGTCTTCATATCATGTACCTGTAATACATCATACTTATTTATAGACAGGACAAACTTCCTTGCCGTACAAGCTTTTGTGGCCCTCTGATGTTATCTATAGGTATATCATGAAAATGTCCTTTAATGTTGAGAAGCAGAACTGAAGGTGCTTTAAGGTATTTTTCCAGCTTTTGTGAACTATCATAACTTATCTCCCCTACCACCCAGGTATACCATAAAAATTCCTTCAATCCTTTTTTGATATACAGTATGGAAGAAAGAAGCAAAAATCTCAAATTCCTCTAAAGCAAAATATCAGCAATTAAGTAGATTATCGCTTCGTGATAATCTATGGCAACTTTTAGGGTGGCCAAGCACGTTAACCTATAGACAACAGTGATCATATGTACGCTAACTTATAACCTCTCTCTGATTTCTTGTAATCCTTTTCTGCAGCAGAACTTAAGAGAGTATTGTATTTGTTTAATAGTATATGATAAGTAAGTAGGCACAGTGTGTGTGACATTTAAACTTGTAGACTCTCGACAACTGTGTTGCGTGTTTTAATTATTTAAGACAGTCGTTAACTGTGTGAGCTAGTTCACAATCCAATGGCTGCATGACACAAAAAAAAAAAAATCAACCATATCACCGTCATGCATGGAGAAATGGAAAACAAAATGCTAATTACATTTTTTGATTATTTTCCATTCTTGAGAGAGAGTCTTTCATGTCCTTTGATTAAATTTTAAAAACACAATTTTGTGTGATTTTTTTTTTTTAAACAAAAATAAATTCTTTACAGCTGAGTTTGGTATATTGTCAGACCAGTGCCTTCTTTATGTGTTTTTAGATGTTGCTAAATGATAAATGATGTTTTCTACGTGTTGAATGTCTAATCAAGAGGTACTGGTCTCTTTTTAGTTTTCTTTCCTTTTCACTGATTTTATCAGACAAGAAGATTTATGGGAACACTTATCTCATGTATATAATTCCATTTGTCTTTCAATTACAATTATATAAAAATTTGACTATTAATTAGAAGTGGCATGTTCATTCAATGTCTGCTCAAATCCCAAAGTCATGTACCGTCTGATATAGTAGCACTGACTGACTTACACGATTCAGAGCCAAGACCTTATAATGAACCACTTCAGTACAACCAAAAATGGTGTTCCCATGTGAAATTTTTTCTTTAAGTGAACAAGTTATTTAAAGATCAAAGTTACAGAAAGTCAAATGGAGGGTGTGTACATGCAGACAAATAGACAAACTATTCATATTTTAGCACGACTTTTCTTCAGTCAGCATTTTATAAGACAACTTGATTAAAAAATACTTGAGGGCAAAATGCTTATTTAGCCAATTTTTGATGATTTAATTCCCCATTTGCAGATGGACAGAGTAAAGTTTGATGAGCACAGAATGACAGAATATATTTTCTATAGCAATTTGCTGTGCTCATCATTTGAATTTTTAAAATATATAAAATGAGACGTCAAAAATGATAATATATATATATATATATATATATATATAATATGTTAGATGAGAGAAACAAGACATATATCATTCAGTTTCAACAAGTGATTAATTCATTAATTAGAGATATATATTCACAGGACAAACTTTAAAGTGCATCACATTTCTTTTTCCTTT